AATCTATTGCAATTGGTCTAATTGTAGAAAGAGACATGGGTGCTTGGACACTAAAACTAGACATGGAGTTAATAGCTATTAGATACTTGTTGAGCACAGAGATGGCTGTGCACTTAACTCTAGAATTGCATTCCTCTCTTTCATTAACATTTCTTTTCAAAATTCTATACTAACCTCATCTACTGCATAATCTTTAGGTAGTTTTTGTAGTATCTATGTAGAATATTATTTATACATGGGTATGTCGTGTTAAAGGGCCTGTATATGTTTGACAATATCTTATTGCAGTAACTTCCACTAGCCGTTATAGAACACTCCAAATCTAAATTGCATTTTGAACTCTCTTGATTAAAAATGGCCTCAAATTATAATGATTCTCAGACACCATCCCTCCAAAGACATCACATGCCTTAGAATCTACTTTATCTAGCTATAACTCACATTTGCTTAATAAGGCATGTAACTACTTCTGCCCTTTAGTCTATTGCAACCTAAACATGCTTATGGTTAGTCACATGCAAAAGTCTGACCATATGATATTAGAGATTCTAAATCTAATATTAGATTTACATGAGACATGTATAGACATAAGGATTTCCTATGTCCACTCATCGGATCAACTTAAAAAGGTTAACTTCCTAAGTCTGTGCATCACACAATGAAAATGAGTAAAACAAAAATGGGAGCAAAAGGGAGAAAAGTTATTTGCCTGATGATAAACCCAACTGAAGTTAGCTCTGCTTGTTGATACAGTCCTATCATAAATGTACACATTGTCTAAATCCTTTGTCCTAAGCAGTATAGGCGAACCCTAGTATGGCTTAGGGGAAATTAAAAACATTTCAACAAAATCCTACCCCTTCATATAAGCTTAGAAAGTAATGCAGCATCTGTAATCAATAACTTATGAGAAACTAGCATAAAATTGTTTCAAAACAAAGGTTGAGAAAGAAAACTTGAATTCTTAAAAGCAATTGAAGAGATACGACGAACGGCGGTGAACAGGGGACCAGGGAAGTGTGGTGTGGAACATTCGCCGTCCGATGCTATGGTTCTCGACTTCTTCAGCAGCGGTGGCCTCTCCGACTTCTTAGGACTAGGATTCCGCAGCGCCGTCACAGACTCTTCGGCGTTACCGCTCCTCCTCATTGCTTCTCAAGATACCCAGAACATAAAATCTCCAAAATCAGCTTCCGGAAAGAGAAATTTGAAAAATCAAAGCTCCCAAACCCATTGAAAAAAGGATCGAAGAAATTGAAAATATGTTTCAGCTCAAAAAGCTGCTTAACCAGTGCGCAGCTGCTGCTTCAGCTTGTCGTTTTCCGAGTCAAATTGTTCTCTATGATAAGAACAATACTATTAGAATGTCAGGTGGATCTGGACGGTTGAGGGGTGGGACGGTTGGGTCCGGTGGTGGAGCCGACGGTGGAGACTGGCGCAGCGGCGAATCAGTTTTTACAGTTCTTAGTTTTCTGTTTTTCGGTTGTCACTGGCGGGTAAAGGTATGATCTTTGCTCTGTTTCAAAAAAGGAAGTATCCAAGAAATTCAGCATTTCCGTAAGTTCTGGCATTTACCCAAAATTGGATTCAAGTCCCACCTTTTCTTTATTTTACTTTCCATTGAAAAAAAAAAAAGTCCCACCTCTTCTTTTAATACGGTAGTCAAATTTTTTAAGATTTTGATTTTTTTTTTTTTAATTTACAGTTCTGGTTTTCTTTGGAGCATCTTAAAAGCACATCCCTGATTGGCTTGGCGCTGGTGCATAAGTTTTGATCTTTTGATTATAGATATATTCATAATGATTTAGATTGTAATTGGATTATATTGTTTGTTTTCTCCCCGAGGTTAATCCCAATTTAACAATGTTAATCTATGATAAAACCCTAATTAACAACCCTTATTCATTGCTGATACAGGAAAGAAAGTATCCTAAACGCGAAGGAAATGGCGAAGTGAAGTGCCTTGAATTTGGCTGGAACCCTTGTGTGGCTTGGTTTCATTGTGGTCCTTCTGATCTTTACCGGAAGAGGAATAAGGAGACCTATTTATAATCCTATGGCGGCGTCTTTCCAGAAAATGTTGGATGGAAAGCTTTCTGGCAATCAGAAGATCAGGGCCAGTAAGGTTACATGCTGAAGAGTCGAAGTTGAGGGGAAAATCGGGTGTTTTGGCATCTGTTTTCGATATTTCCTTTGGTTTAGGCCTTGACAGAGAGCTCTCTCCAGCCAGAAGCATGATGGCTTGAGCCTGCAATGACGATTTGAATATAAGTAACCAAAACAAAAGCATCCGGAAAATTTTCATTCAAGAAGGCACCTCTATAGAAGGTGTAATTGTCATTAGTCCTATCTTAAAAGTTTCAATCTCTCTCTTCTAATACATATTCAAAATTTTAAGTTGGAGATTTCAAGTTCATAATTTCATTTCGTGATTGTTGAAAAGATTCATACCTTTTCAATGGGAACATTGTCATAGACATTAATAGTTCCAGCATAGAAGATTGTAAGCTGTCCTTTTGAAGGCTTTTCATCTGCTGAACTTGATTGCATTGTATTGAGCCTGTGAAAAAAACGAATCAAACAGGACATCAATTTTTCAGGGGACAAAATTGAAATGCCTCAGATGATGGTGGATGTTGGAAACATACCCAATTCCTGGAAGTAACCGCTGTTCCAGGAGAGAAGCACGGCCGTGGTGATTACAGCCAGGCATAGGTGGCATCAAAGCTCGTTGCAGAGACCTCTCCTTGATAATGGTTTCAGATTCATCCATGTTGGTTTTTCCTTTGATGCTGTGTTGAGCCTTCGATATGAGATATTTTCGAAACAGGTCAATGGTTTGAGACATGTCCTGTATTTGCCTTGAGC